GACATCGTACTCCAAGCCTTCGTCTGTGTTTTTCCCTATCCTTTTGAATTAGACGGTAGTGCTTGGGAACATACTTTCCGAGGAGGAATTGACAAACGAGCTTCTTGTTCCGAGAATTAATTTACAAAAAGACTGTGTAGGCCTAGGCTGAGTTCTGGTCTGCCTCATAAGCAGACCACTACATGGTTGAGGGTGCTACTACATGGTTGAGGGTGCTACTACATGGTTGAGGGTGGTGACCATAATTGAAGATCTCGTCACACGCCTGAGGTACTATTCCCTTGTTGGCTCCGTACCCCACCATAGAGTACGATTTGCCAGCTCCAACATATGAAGAGAAGAGATAGCAGATACAGAGTCTGCTAAGAATCTATGACGGTAAAATAATGAACCATCGCCCTGCTAAGAATAACATTTTGCGAGATGATGAACCATATCTACAACTGTAAAAGCCATGATAAATAACTAGTACATCTCTGAGCATTAGATAGACTCGATAAGCGAGGAGCCACAACTTCGGAAAGAAACGCCTCTATTTTCCGCAGATGCGAAGCGAGCAACACATTCGGGAAGAAGCATCTAAGCTACAGACACAGAGCCTGCTTTTTTGTTTGTTAGTTTCCGAGGAAAACTTGGATCCAATGAAGACATAGATCCAACAAAGACATAAACACAGAAAAGACGTAGCTAGGTAAATGCTGTCTAGTTCATAAGGTTTGTCCGTAGGCAAAAAGGCAACAATGGTAGCCCTCCCATGCGTTGTTGAGCACTTGGACGCCAAGTTTCTCATAGACAAAGCTCTGCGAGGCATACCGCGACTCTATTAGAGAAAAAAAGTAACGCGATTGACTATAGTACACTACAGCAGTGGGGATTATCAATCAGTGGCGATTATTGATCTGGGGATTATTAATCAGTGATGATTATTAATCAGGGGTGATTGTTAATCAGGGGCGACTGCTAATCAGGGGTGAGTATTCGATTAGTAATGAGTCCAAATTGTTGCGTATGACTGGCAGAGAAAGTGCATGGGTCGTGACTACAGCAGTGGGGATTCTTGCAAGACCTAGCAGCCAGGCCCGACGCCCCCGAAAGTTGCCGAAAGTTCACAGAAAACCGGCGCCCCAATTTTCGCAGAAGCTTCAAGGGGTCCTCGCATCTGAGTCGCAGCAGGCTGATCATGTCGCCGCGGTCACGATCCGACTACTAACCTGCGCCGCCGCGCGCCCAGTAGAAGCTAGGCTACGGCGCAAACTTCTGGAGCAGGGTGGCGCAGTGTCTGGCAGAGTGTTCTATTGGTGTGATTATGCGGCAAGGCTTGCCGGCATTTTATGCGCTGCCTCTCTTTCATACTGACCGACGGGCGCGGGCTGCCCCGTGCGTGGCGACGGGGCGGGCGTGCTTGCTGGCTCGCAATCGTTCAGGCTAGGCAGTTCTTTGACTGCTGCCGGGTTTTGCTGGGTGGATCCATCCGTCGAAGCTCGCGGCCCCTCGGGTTGGAAATTTCACCAAGGTCCGCGTCTTGCGTCGTTTGGTTGTTTGATGAATTTGGGCGATTTTTCTTGCAAAAATGCGAACCGCGTCCGCAAGCTGCCGAAAGTTTCAACAGGGCCGAAACTTACCGAAAAGGGCCGGAAGATGCCGAAAGCTGCCGAAGGTTACCGATAAAAGCAACCACACTAGTAAGCTACCAACAAAGTAGCAGACACCTAAAGCGCCCAACGGACAGCGCGCCGCCTGAATTTCTGGACCGGTCTCAGAACTTGACGGCCTGGATCTGTGTGGACTTGCGGCACCTTTCGGCGACGCATTTGCTGGCGCGTAGGTCTTGCAAGGTCTCTACGTCACTCAATGCTAGACCACAAGGACGCAGGCTGTTTAGTCGGGCGGAGTTTCTAAGTGACCGACACCGGGCGAAGCTCTACCTTGCTGCAAGCTGAGCTTGCAGCCTGGGCCAGGTGCTTTCTGGCTGGTTTGGTCCCTGTGGAGATTCGTCGGGGCTGCAAGGGAGTCCCTACTTCGTCTCGTGATATCATGGCGGGGAAGGTTTCACGCTCTCGCTGTCTTTATGCTATCACCATCAGCTTCGCGCGATCACCTACGCCGGGACTTATCTGGACCCGGCTGAGCTTACTGGTTGGATATGCGTCAGGTCGTGCGGAGCTTATCACAGTAATACCTGCCGGGGGTTCTCCATGCCCTGGGAAGTGGTCAGAACTGACAAGACGGACGGACCTGGCTACAGCTATGCGCGTGCGCTATTTCTTCCGTCTAAAAGCGTTGAGACTCCTTTGCCTGTTGATCGTTGGCTTTAGAACCATGCGCGTCTAGGTCTATAGGTTTCCCAGAGGTCTCTCCGGTGGTGCCTTGTCCTTGACTGAGCTGAGAGACTGAAACAACGAACGAGAGAGAGGAGAAGCCAGAAGGCACCCGCGCAACGGCAAACCCGTCAGGCGTTTGGATAGTGCTCCGGTTGAGTTTGATAGAGGCCTGAGAACCACCGACAGCCGCGCCAACTAAGGCCAACGCGTTCAGAATGGCGCCGATGGGTTACCTTTTCCCGCCTGGCGGTCTTGGTCATTTTGATGATCTTGGTCCTTCGGGTCTTGTGGGTCTTCGTCGTATTTCGATGAGACAGATCATGGCCAAAACTTAGTAGTGTCTACTATGAGTATTACTATTAGGCGCGGAAAGACCTATCTGGGCCTGCAATCTCGGAGCTATCGCGCGTAGTAGTGAAAGTGATGATCAATTCGTAGTGTCTACTATGACTAGTGTGGTGCCAGCACTACTTACCAAGAATGCCAATGGGTGGCTTCCATTTAGGTAGAAGCCGGCGTTGGTAGATTGTAAATAGACTCTTGCGGTAACAAAAGAGACTGACTCGCTCAGAACAGTCGGGATGGGATAGAAATGCCGAGGGTTAGCATCACTTTCGTAATGGCACTCACATGATCACTTCCGGTGGTCACTCACGTGATCACTTCACATGATAATTGATAAAGATATTTCTTCGTTCTCATTTCTGCTACATGATAGGTCTTAATTTTTCTGATTCCGGTTCAGCGATTCCTGTCTCTGGGTCTTCGCAGAAGCCATCATGGGACCAAAAACTTTAGAGCTTAGCCTGATCCATCTGAAGAGCCCGTGCCTGACCTGAAGGTTACCCTTGAGAACCCTTTAGAAGCTTACCCTGGCCGGAAACTCATCTGGGAGACTCGCTCCACTTGTGGAACAGACTTAAGATTCTACTGGAGGTGGATTAGGGGAAGCCTTAAAAACTGTAGTCAAAAGTGAACTGCTTTTCCTGCAACGTGTCATCCAGGTCCTTCAATATGGTCGTCTCCTTTTGCGAAATGAGAGGAAAGGGGATCGATAGGATACTGTTTTCATCATAGGAGTGGAAAGAGGATAGGATGGAATAGGAGACTCTTCGCTTCATTTATTGTTGTTTCCGGTGCACAGATCTTAGTAAATGAAAGGAAAGGGGATCATAGGAAAGGGGATAGGAAAGAGTAGATAATTATTCTCACCATAGGATGAATATAGGACAACTACTGTTCCATTGTATAGAGGCTAGAAAAGGGGATAGGTGAGGGGATAGGAGAGAATAGGATAGGGAGAAGAGAAATAAAAGAAAGGAGACACCTACTGTTCTATTGCATTCGTGTCATGTTGTGCGCGGAAAGAGGACAGAGTAGAAATCGATCCGCCTGTTCCACAGAGAGGAAAAAAAGAGAAGCAAACTTCTGACTGCTTTATTCTTCATGAGTATGATGTTCTAGCTTGAATACCTAAGAAGCCATTAGGCAGACTGACCATGCAGCATGCTATTCATCATGTCCTCGCATTAGGGTAGCACACTGACTAAGGGTAGCACACTGACTAAGGGTAGCACACTGACTAAGGGTAGCACACTGACTAAGGGTAGCACACTGACTAAGGGTAGCATTACTTACCTGCGTCTAGGGTAGCAGGACAGTGACTATCTTTTCATTGGTCATGTTCTAGTTTGTGACTAGTTTCTTGACCTTATCGTTCATTATCCTAATTCTATATTTTTATCCTTATACATAGTACTATATTTTCATCATCCTTGTACTTCTACATCATCTTTATATATAATTGTCCTCCTCATAGTACTCATCTCTACTGCAAATACTATCTATATGATCCTTAACAGCCCTTCATACTCATGTCTACTGCGAGCTTGCATCCCATAGTTTTCTCGCGATCGTTGAATGGCCGAACACGTACGGCCACCTTCACGCTAATCTCCGTCATGACTTTTCAGTCGCGGCGAAGTCGGCTTATGGGAAGTGGAATGCTTCCCCTCAGTCGCAAGTGGAGTGCTTAGTGTGGAATAGTTTCAAATGCAAGTGTCCGTCGTGCTCACGTTTATCGACGAGCTTTTGGTTCCTCTTTTTCCATTTTTTTTGAAAATATGATATGAAGAAGATGTACCACCAGTACTATTCCTGCTTCATTCGTTTCCCTAGTAGCAGTTCCTCTCGTAGCCTATGGACTCACTGGAAAGTCACTAGAAATGGAAGCTTCTGACTGGTGTTGTGATTGCACCCTTCTAAGTATTCAACTTTTTCTTCATTCTAGCTAGTTTTAGATAGCTCTAGTTGATTCTGCAACCGTCCCAATCCGTAGAGGAGTCGGAAACAACTTTTAGAGGAGGTCTTTCAGACCCTACAAGGGGAGAGCTCAGTTCTGCGCACCGGATCAGTGGTTGAGGCCTTGGCCTGTTCACTTATCAAAGGCAAACAGGGGAAATAGCAATGGGTAGGGACCTCGTCTCAGCTCGTCTCAGATATCTCAGCTCAGACTCTCGAAGCCTCACATATTAGGGTCTCGCTACACCTTGCCAACACTTCACATCCGTCTACTCTCTCGTCAACAGCTCGCATCCGTCTATACTCTCGAAGTTGTTAAACCTGTTTCTTCGAGGTGGAGACTCTCAGCAAACATTTCGCCTCCTCTCGATGCTCCTTGGTTTGGCTCTCAAAGATGCAGGATTCTCAAAGAAGATTCAGGCATGCCGTTTAGAAAGTGCCTTTCTTGTCCGTTATAGTACTGAGATTCTCACATGCATGGAAACGCTTCCCACTACACTTACACGGAAGTTTCCGAAGCAAAAAAAATAATTGTCCGCTTCGGCTCCCAGGCTTCTAGGCACCAGAAAGTTGTTAATCATTAATTCTAACGCTGAAAACTTGAGTCGACTTCTTGTTTCCTGAGTCGAGTTCCTGTTTCCTGATTCTTGATTGAGTCGAAGTTCTGATAATAGGTTGATTCGAGTTCTCTATGCTTGATTCGAGTTCTCCATGCTTGATTCGAGTTCTCTATGCTTGATTCGAGTTCTTTATCATTGCGTATCAATGTCCTTCACTCCTATTTTCATGCCTCTCCCGAGAAATTCTATGCTAGCATCAGCCTCCTTCAGCACTCAAATCCCAAAAAAAAAACGTCAACTAATGCTTTGACACTGTTGCTTCATCTCTTTCACCGCCACTTGTCTTTGCAAAGCATGGTCCTTCTTCAGTATCAAAGGATGCCTCGCGAATGCTTTCAGGTCTCTGCAAAATCTATATGTATATTGATGCCAGATTCATCACCGCAACGACCAGATCTCCAAGTATAGACCACCAGATCCATGCCTCCGCGATTCGTGAGAGATGTCAACTTATAGTGCTGCAGCACTACAGAGTCCACATTGATGCTGCCTTATTCACTGTCAGAGGCCTATGCAAAGTCAGGCCTATGCAGTTTCAAGGTCCACATCGCCTTATTCTTGAATTGCACGGGAGAGCCGCCTTTTTCTTGCACACGGAGGACCGCTGTTTGTGCTCCAGCCAGGCACAGGCTATGTGGAGTGGTTTGCGCCCACAAAGATAACTCCTCACCCACTTTCAGGGCAAAGATTAGAAGAAGATCCATCCAAGCTTGTTGTTGTTGTTAGATGGACCTGAAACTAGGATCCTAAGGCTATGACGTTGTTATGAAACTAACCTCATCCTCACCTGTTCTTCATTACGATAAAGTATTACAACAACAAAAAGCCTTAATTCTAGTTCTTCCGGTGTGCAGTCTAAGCTCGTAGCCGTCCCCGCGCGCAATTGGCGCAGTTGAGGCAAGAAGAACTCGACTTTGATTCGCTTTGATGCTTTTTTAGTTTTGTTTTCTTCTTCATCATCAGATTGAGAACTTGTACTGGTGGTGGAAGATGACGTTGTGGAAGATCCGTCTACCTCGTCCGACGGTCCTTGGTCGAGAGGGGCTTCACTTCTAGCAGCAGGCTTAGCTTCACTTGCAGCAGCGGGCTTAGCTTCACTTGCAGCAGCAGGCTTAGCTTCACTTGCAGCAGCGGGCTTGGCTTCACTTGCAGCAGCGGGCTTGGCCTCAATCGTAGCAGGACTCTCTTCCGAAGCAGGAATCTTTTCCTTCTTGCTCTGCAAAACGATGATTTTCGACACCACCGCTTTCAATCTAAGCCCGGTTAATATCCTCGTACTTGTAATTTGTTCGTCTACTGCTATTCCACTAGTAGAAGCTGTCTCTTCCTCCTCTGTAGAAGTTTTCCCACCTGTAGCAACATTTCCTTCTCGTTCCTCTTCATGAGTTGTCATTTCATCTTGTACATATTTTAGAGACTGCAAAATTTTCAAAAAAATATCTTGCCGCCCTCAGCCAGCAGCCTTGGCTTGAAGTCTAAGTTGAAAATATCATTGCCGAAAACTACGACCCCGAAAAAAAATATCTTCAATATGTGTTTTCTAGCCAGGACCTCAGAAATAATTACAAGAAACTCAATGTGATCATTAAACTATTCAGAGACGACAGCTGCTGCATCCTGGACGTTTCTCTCGAATTAAGTATATGGAGTATAATCGTTATAATATGCCTTCATCCACCTTGTCTATGGCGTAATTGTTATAATATGCCTTAATCCACCTTGCCTCCGTTGAAATTCGGTCCGCCTCAAATATTCGCCGAAATAGTAAGCCAAAGAATCCGTGTGAGCGTCATCCTGACGACGGGCAAATACTGTGCATCGTTCAGCAGCCACCTCTAGCCTGCTCTCATGTTAGAATAGGATACATCACCAGTTTTTTAAGTAGGACGTAGTCGAGGAGCAGGGCCTTAGTAAGGCTGAGCCTTGGGTCTTGCGACAAGTAACTTCTTAGGATGGCACGACTAACTTGCTAGGATGGAGAGCGTCGTGAAAGGATCCTTTCTTTCTACACGCCTAAAAATTTGGAGATCCTGATCTGAATTCTTGCCCACTGCTGTGCTCTCTACTACATCCCTCTCTACTACATCCCTCTTCATTCTTTCCTTAACATTCGGCATCCGCATGTTCAGCATCGAGGTCAGTGGAAAAAGCTTCAGGTTTCTGCAAGGCTTGAACTAGTAGTCGATGTACTACCAGATCTGCATATCTTCTGATCGGTGAAGTAAAATGCAAGTAGCCTTGCAAATTGAGGCCCCAATGGTAGCAATCTTTTCGCTTCTTAGAGGAGGGCGTTGATGGTAGCGCAAGCTTTTCGGTTCTTAAAACAGACATACATAAATACATACCCACAGACGTACATACATACATACACACATACTACACACATACAAACACACATACATACATACATACATACATACCTACACACATACACGCATACCTACATACATACATACATACATACCTACATACATACATACATAGGACGCGCCGCTAGCCATCTACTTCTAAGAAGATCTTGTCAGGAGAATCAGGAGATAAATTTGGAAAAAAGTATAACTCGATCCGTGAAACAAGTACTGCTTCCGTCTTCTAAGAATCAGAGAAATGAACGTCTGAAGCCTTAAGTGAACCCGCATCTTCGCTAAGCTCCCTTCGAGAGAGTTCTTCATCGGTGTCTGACTCTATAAAAGAAAGAGGATCTTCTAGGTCCTCTAAGTCATCAGGCTCTTGGATGTCACGGTCTACATCGCTTGCTCTGCAGCTTTCAGGCGAAGTTTCAGTGGTGCTGCTCTCATCCGGCTCATGTGCGAGGATTAGCGCCGCTTGTCTTCAATACTAGCCGCAAGGGGCATTGAGGCTTTTCCGATACTAGTACTAACCACGGGTCCTGTGGTGAATCCGATCGAGAGGAGCACAATTGTATTTCCTCTAAATCAGCGAAGAAATATATTGACTGATACAATTGTATCTACTCTAGTATAGCACAATTCTTGTATTTGCTCTAAATTACACATACTGCGTTATCCTCCTTAACAACAGTTTTTCCTCTTCGTATTTGAGCATTCGGTACTTGGCAGGAGAGAGCGCCTGAAGCGCAGTAAAAGAGACACTTTCTGCCGAAATTAGAGGCGTGGTAGGGGACGACGGGTAGAAGATTCTTGAGAAAATAAGAGTCTTCTTTTCTTGGGAAAATAAGTAGTGAAAGACACTAGCACAAGTAGAGAGGGACTTCTGGGAGAAGCGTAATATTGGACGGGAATTTAGCTCAGAAGTCTTCTCGTGTGACTAATGCAGGCTAGGCTAATTTTAGATTTAGGGTAGCGTAATAGTGGAAGCCTGTTTAGCTCAATCTTAGAAGACAAGGGCCTCTTAGGGGAAGCGTGATGCGTGATGGTGGCAGAAGAAGGGTCTTTGAGAAGGGTTTTTTAGGGGAAACGTGATCTTCGACAGGTATTTTCCTGAAGTATCAGTAATTACATTTACACATTAACGGTAAGCAACATTCAGAAGTTTGCGCAAGTGCAAGTATTTGGAACGGTATTGAGTACTTGGAACCGTATCTCGAGTGGAAGAATCCGGGTTTGGGTAGAGGTCTTCACGGAAAGACTTCAGGACGCCAAAGGCCCTGGGAGACGAAGAGTCCTGGGAAGCAAAGTAAGCGCCCTAAAAAACACAAGGTCAGAGAGAGCGAAAGGTACTAGGAAAAGAGAAGCAGGGCTTTAGTGGAAGCGGCAAGGATGGCACTCAAAGGATCTTGGTGGCACGCAAAGGGCCTTGGTGGCACTTATTGGGCCTTGGTGGTGCCCGAAGGGTCCCCCCCAGAACCTGAATCAGGCTGAGCAAAGACAGTGACTCAAGCAGGCTGAGCAAAGACACTCGGGTCTTGGAAGAAGAAGGTAGATGATGAAGGCGAGTGATCGTGCTGTTGTATTTGTGAGTAACCTTGTCATCCTCAGATAATCAAGAAAAGCAATGGAAATGTATTTCCTATTGATTCATGTGCCTCCATGTGTACAAAAAAACACCCTACAAGAAATAGGTACACTGGAGCACGAAGAGGATAGTCAAATTTTGTCTGACGAGAGGCACTTCTAAGCCATTGATTGACGTGCCCACTCGCTAATAGAATACTATAAAAATAACACAGGTAGTACTTCTACACTGCGCAGACCATAATAGCAAAGGCGGAAAGTGTTGACTCGTGAAGGCAAGCAGCTCCGCTGCTCCAACTTTTGGGTCCGCTAGTAGTGCCTTTAACGCAGAACGAGTAGCAGCAGAGTCGTCTGAAGGCTCTTGCGCTCCTGAAGACGAACGCGCTCCAACTTGTGGAGGTTCTTTTCCTGGAGACTTTACTTGTGATTCGTTTCCTGGAGACTTTACTTGTGATTCGTTTCCTGGAGACTTTCCTTGGGTTGCTTTTCCTTGACCACCTCCCGAAGATTCCTTTGAAGATTCCGAAGTTTCCTCGAGAGTCTCTCCAACCTCCGACGCAGCTTCTTGTGATGTTAGTACCTTCTGCAGGTACTGCCTCAGTGCTCTATTAACCTTGTCGGCAGTGTTCTTGTGTGATCTCTGCATCCCCTGTCTAGCTTTCATCAGGTGGGTTGCCACGAGGTGGTTGGCCAAGACCATAAGCTCTTCTATTAGAATGATCAGGCTTTGGCCCTCTTAACTTTATCTTAACTTGTTTTAGCATCAGAAATGGGATTTTGGTTTAAAAATGAACGAATAAGCGTAGTTTGACCCGTTACCCAGTTGTTGTCTTGAAAGGAAGTTTGTGCTCCCCCAACATAGAATGGATAACAGGAGTAAGCCGTAACTCGATTACTCGATGAGAATCATGCTGTTGCGCGTCTGCTGTCGTGCCAGCTTCTACTTCTTGGGTGGAATCAGGAGCATCATCATGTGGCACATTTCTACTTTGTCCAATCCTACCAGCACCAATTCCACGCGAATCTGAATCTGAATCAGCATTTTCTAGAAGCCCGCTGTTATGGTCATCTTCCTCCTCTGTAGTTCCTTGAAGGTAAACTTGTACTGGATATCCATCCTTGTCTAGCTCGAACCTGAGTTCAGGGTTGCTGGCAGGCAAAGCTAACCCCTCACCACCTGCTAGTCGCAGTGCCCGACGCTTCGCTGTAAGCTTGTATAGAATCCGCAAGTCCTCAAGTATTTTCGCATTGTTTGTCGGTACTAGACTTAGCGGCGCTGACTCATATTGAATCTATTCCAAGAACAAGATGCATGTGAGTGAGTACTGTTATTTTCTCCAAGTTACATACGTTGGAGGAGGAGCAAGGTGATTATAAGGGGGAAAAAAAATCAATTCACGATTTCGATATCTCAACGTTTGAGCTACTGTAAGCTTGTATAGAATCCGCAAGTCCTCATTTGTCGGTACTAGACTTAGCGGGGTACTAGACTTAGCGCTGTCTCAAAGTACGATATGATGCTTCTCAAAATAGGATATAAGGGAACGCCTTAATGGATGGAGAAACGAGGGCTTCTCATGTTCGGATTTCTTCTTTTCCAGACTATCTTCAGAGGACAATATAGCTGCATCGACAGCATCATAGTCCATGCGATGACGGACCCGAACTCTAGTTCGCATAAACCGCGTCCGATCTGGTAGGAGTGTGCCGTCATGTATTGCTTAGAGGCAGTACGTAGTAGCATTATGGAGAAATGGAGAACTACAGCCCATAATATGGTTTATCAGTTAGTAGCATGCTGCGGCTAGCAAACAAAGTATGGATGGGAATAGGAAGTTCTCGCAACTGATATTTTACGCGGCTACTACTAGAAGATTCTACTTTATCTTGAGGAAAGAAAGCCAAGCCGTCCAATCATGGAGTGAATGTTCACAACCTTTGCTTCGATTTGGAGATGGCTAGAACTCCAAAACAGGAGCCTTAACTGAATGTGAAAAACACGGAAAAAGTATTCTTTGGTTCAGGACCAGGATGAAGTGAGCAAAGGTCTTCACTAAGTCGTGGTGGCAACATCGGGTACACCTTATGCGGCAAATACACAGTTGTAGTTCGTTTTGCAGCGGCTGCGTCACAAAGTGAGTCTGCGGCCACGTAATTTAGATCTCGGAGTTGTAATCCATCTTGTGGAGCATCCCGGTGCCCGATTTCCCTTAATATAAGGAACGGGCCTAAGAAGTAGATGCTGGCTAAGCTGGATTCCTTGAAGCCTTAAATAATATGTAACATCCGCAATATGAACGCCGATTTCGTATACCTTCTCGTCATGTAGTAGTGGCCTTTTTGGTGCAGCTTCTTGGTTCACTTGCCTGACGGTGGCTTTATGTTGTCCGCCATCTTGTGCTACTCTTTGGTTCCCTTTAGCTACTGCAGCACCCTGCTCTTCTCTTTCTTCCGCCACGCCTTTCTGTGTCCACCACTTACGCTGTTCGTCTGCGTTGGCATGGACCACTACTGAGATCGCATCGTCCAAATCTTTTGCAGTCTCAGGATCGATGCAGAAGACCTCTAGATCTTTTGTGAAATCGATCCTCCTCAAGGCTTTCTCTTGTTGCGGAGTCTCTGACTCAGAAGTCGGACTTAGAAGTAAGAAAAGGATCTCCATCTTGAATGCATAAATCAATAGTAAAAAGAAGAGACTACTAACTTAGAAGTATCAACAACGCACACAGATTTCAAAAAGTATTAACAAAATAGGATAAAGAAACTCTTCCAGGATAACTACAGCAAGTGTTACAACGAGCATCGCAGCAATTGCAATTTCCGCCTTCGAATCAGCTAGTAGTTCGTTAAATCAGCGGGCCTTACTTATTGCAAAGCATACGAGTCCGAGTGTCTTATCAACAAAGTTGCAACATTCCTGGTCTTCTTGACCTTTCGTAACTTCAAATCGCCATCTGCCTCTGTCCATGTCCGTTTTTCCTGTAAGATCTGTTCCACCTCCTCTTCTATGTCGCGGGAATGAGGCAAAGGGTCGAACCCGTACCATGCTACGATTGCATCAATTTCACTCTGTGCAGTACCCGCAGGTCCAAGGTCAGCTAGAAGTTTGCCTGAAGGACAGAAATCCTGGACGGGCCAGTCGGTAAGTTGCGCAGTAACGAGATTGCCGACTAAGCGCTGTGCAGGCGAATTCCGCAAGAAGTCCCTCTTGCTGCGGCCACTCGCTTTGAAATCTCTCAGGCTTCTGTTAGAACAAGAGACCTACAAGCAACGGATCGTTAAGCTACGAGACCATCAGGATCAGAGAGGAATGAAGTCGCTTCTTTCGTGACTCAAGCTAGTTAAGTGTTAGTTGCCCATCATGTTGTGTCTATCCCCTCTGCATGATATTTTCCTACCGCGTGAGACAAGAATGCTCAACTTCCACTAAAACGTCTAGAATCTGCCTCACAGTCATGATCACGATCACTACTTATCTTACAGTCATCATATCTGTCTCACGGTCATTAGAAGCTATATGACAGTCATTAGAACCTGTTGTAAAGAACCTGTCTTACACTCTGTCTCTACTGTCGTCATTCATTAATACTTGTCGCAAATAAGTCCCCTCATAACTTTAGGTGCTTCCAGGAGCCATGCTGGCAGTCGCGAGTCTCTAGGCTGAAACTTCAACTGATTTCTCACGTGTTCCACCACCGTGCCGACAACGGTATCTTTTTCAACACGTTCTAAAATTCCTACTACACGACAAGAGCTCCCGGAAATGACGTCAGGCAATGGTGGTGGTGCTGGTGCACAGTGAGTATCGCCTGGGGTAGAGAGAGTATCCCCTGTGGCAATATCCCCTGTGGCAGAGTGTGCGGAGTACGTGCCTTTGTCTTCAGTAGGTGAAAGACTAGAAGATGAAGCAAGCGATGCTCTATGCTCAGAAGAAGTGTTTGCTGTGATCGAGTCTGATGAAATAGGCGAGATAGGGGACGAAGAAACACTCGTCTGCAACGGTGTTGTACTGGGTGTTGGCGGCAGCGGTATTCCTATTTTGCCAGGGATCTTTGCCCCACTACTAGGCACTAGTCGAGATGCCGATCCAGGTGCTACAACTCCAGGCGTTGGACTAGTGGAGGACCCCTCGGAGCGTTCTGTAAGAACAAAGGCTTTGTGGTCAGCTTGATCGCCCAAAAATGCGTCTCCTCCAGAAAGCTGTTCCTCAAAATGCCGAGGAAAAAGCTGAGGCAGTTTTTCGCGAACTGCAGCTGCTACCTCTGCATTTAATACTTTTTCGGTGCGAATTAGCATACACGACTCTAATTATCGATAAATACTAGAGCACCCACCCATATAATTGAATGAAATAGCAGATCTATTCATCCATGTGGAAGAACGAACAAGTCCTTGAAAAAAGCGTTATCATTTTCTTCTAAAGTGCTTGCTGTTACGACCATTCATCTTCCTAAGTGTTAGAAAAGAGAAGGTCAGTTCCGTCACAAAGCACAGATAGGTATCCTTTAGTGCTTACTCTTACGCAGAGTTGTGCACTATTTCGTCTTGAAAATATCTGTCTGTACTCCTCACAACAGTCTAAGGAAAAAGAGGTTCTCCTTGTTTAGCCTCACAGCTTAAAAGTGTCCGCTCGCACCTTACAAGTGTCCTTGGAAAGACCGTTATCCTTAGCCTTTGTTTAGGTCCGTCTTAGTACCTAGAGTTACTCACTACGATTTTCAACCCAAAAAAGTCCTCTATTTTGACCATAAAAGCGTCCTCTCCACGGTTGCTGCATCCAGTTTGCGTCCTGAATAGGCGAAAACGAAAACCCTATCCCCATGCATTGCCCGATTCCGCGCTATGAAACCCGTGGTAAGCAGCTTCACTGGTTGCTATTAGATAGGAATAGGGGCGTTGTTGACATCTTCTATCACGCGTGTAACTTATAACAGAGTTTACGTGAAAATTACATCTATCCCTGGGAACGGCTTATAAGAGAGAGGTGCTACCTGAACTTTTCTGTTTTGATGTACTTATGCTTCCTTGTTCGAAAAACTGAAATAAGCAAGTAACTGATCAGAATAACCGAGAGACTGATGAGAAGGAAGAGTAGCCTTGAAATTAAGCTACCTCCCTTATTTCAGTCAGCAACTCGGTTATTTTGAGTTTTCGAATAGATGAAGCATTCTAGTACGCAGTATAACGAGTAGGTACAGGAGTCACGTCGCGGTGCCAGAAGTGGATACTCACGAGGAAGCTAACCTAAGCTAAAATATCGCCAGAATATTCTCGTACTCTTGTTCGTCCGCGTCCGTTCGCTTTCCGCCACTCTGCTTTCCGTCACTCTGCTTCCCATCTAGGATCACGTAGCAACTATCGGTATGAAAAGCCGGAATTCTGATAGTGCCCTCGAATAGGAATCCAGACTCCACCAGGCACTGCAACTGCTCTCCCGTCAAAATGTCACTCCAGTGGGGCTCAAAGGTTGCCACCTTTTGAAAATATGCACTGTTCTTCGATTGCTTTGGTTGCAGTGATGTGGACAATGGCGATGTAGAAGATGCTTTGGTTGCTGCAGTGGACGTGGAAGTTGATGTTGCTGGATCATTTCTACTACTTGACGATGGAGCTGCGCTCTTTGTCGGAGAAGGTGGTGTACTTGTTACCAAAGATGGACTAGTTTTTGTAGCGGAAGAAGTAGACACTGTGCTATTGTCCGGAGTAGTGGAAGATGAAGCAGACACAGGAGAGGCGTGGGAGGAAGTCTCATCATTCTCTCCAACAAAGGTACCAGCTGTAGTGGCACTAGGCGAAGCGCCAGTCGGTTTTTTGATCTGCGTACTAGCAGGAAATGGAGCTGGTCGGGAAAGACCAGGCCTCGCTATGTTTCTTACCACAGGCTTAGGTGCGAGTGGTGCAGAAGCGGCGGCTGCAGGCTTGGGTATCAGTGGTGCAGAAGACGCGACTGCCCGCACCTTACATATTGTGTTGGTACATATCTGCTTCATCGTTCCTGCTTCATGTCTTCAGTTATACTACTACTACTAGTGGTGCTCAAATTAGTAGCTGTGGTGTTGTGAAGGTTCATCATTTTATTAGCAACGATACTACACTTAGTATTCAGTTTTGTTATCCACTCAAGAAATGTTGAATTATTGAGAACATCACAGAATAGATTTAGATAAATAGTGGAAATTCACTCTGTGTTAAGATCTATCACACAAGGGATCACAGGAACGAGTCGCACAGGAACAAGTGGGCTAGGATCTGTCACACAGGAACAAGCCGCGCCTTCACGTAGCAGCTCTGACCGACCGTGGCTGGCATGAGGTTGTACCAAACATCGCTTTGGCAGGTGAACAATATAGCGCAACAGCACTGCGAGGCTTTTACACCTCGCCTAAGAAGCAAAGAGGCAGAGTTAGGACAGCCTCCTGACCATTCAATTACTGCTACAATTGCAAGTTTTTCAAGTTCGTTCGGCGCACCAGCTTGGGTGAGCGCAGAGAAAGCAAGCATTTCACAGACGCAAAGATCAAAGCTAAACAATAGTGAAGCGAGCAGAAAGCCCTGTTCCCCTACTGAGCGCTAGAAACTGGAAGGAAAAGGAAAGACTACGATTCATAGACTTTGTGTTCTGCATGGGATCCTTCCACAGAACTCCCTAATGTTCTTCACAGAAGCCGAGCCGAGCACCTTAGGTTAGGTTAGGTTAGGTTGGGGCCTACCATCCAATGTGGCAGACTTTAGCGGCTGCTGAGGAGCATAGCAAAGGTGCTAATCTAGATCAGAAACGCTACACTACTCTAGCTATATCCCTACCAACAAAAAAAACTGTCTTGCATTGATGTTTTCATGGTGGATTCATGTCCTCTAGCATCGTAGCCACGTGAAAGCCATACACATTTCTCCGTGGTAGTCCAAGCTCAGCCAGAAAGCAACGAGAATAGCTATCGGGCTCAGATGAAGAGGCGGAAGAAGATAGGAGAAGGTCAATAATAAGCTATGTGTGGGCCTTAGGATGAGGATTGACACGAAAAAAAATCATCCCCAAGTAGAGATCATACACATATTGGGAAAATGAAAACAGCCATAATGCTTTCAGCTAGATGATTTGAAAAGGACCGAAGTATTCTCATGGCTTTTCACAATGAAGAGGGAAGCGATGCATCTCCCTGTTGGGGCCTCAGTGTTATCCAGTTCGCAAATTGGAGGCAGGTGGAGTGCATTAACCTCTTGATATCATGGGTGCACTAATTGCCTACGAGCCTGCCGACTTTAGGATAATCAAACTTAAGAGCTTTGTCCAATACGGACACTTTAAACCACAGCAAGACCTGCAAAATGTGCCTCATGTCTGGTCTGCCGTTATAGGATTTGCTGGAAATGGCCCCAACGAACTGGTAGAAAAGTAGAAAAGCAATCGAGAAAAATAGTCAACTAAAAGCTTAGAACTATACCAACTACCATTCAAGACTCTGTACCAACTATACCAACTTACAACTATACCAGCTACCAGTACAAACTAGAATTACCATTCACGACTCACCAACGCTTTCGACTCACTCAAGAGGCACTCAAGAGGCAACGCACCAGCATCCATTGTCGGTTTAAACTGATAGACGCCATGATGTATGTATCAATTTCCCGCACGAGACCGAAAAGGGACCAAAACGATTAGCAAAAGGATTAGTTTTGACTTAGAACTTTTTGACTTATAAGGAACTTCAAAATAGGACTTTGTTTTTTCGGACTTTTTCAGGATTTCATTTTATAAACTGGATTTCACAACTCCAAAACAGTAGGTCAAGGTGTCTAGAACTAGAAAAAAACTATGACGAGAGAAACGTGCTCAGGCTGTGACAATAATTTGAAAACCAATTATGAGTTCTTCTATGCCTGAACGTACCAGAGTGTCGAGAGCAGAGATGACATTGACTGATGAAACTACTTAACTACAGTACCTAAAACTTAGTAATTTTTAAGAGAAAGGACATTTTAAGACAAAGGACAACTTAGAACCTACAAGGTCGATGACAATCACGGTGGTCGCGACCTTTCTTGCCACACATCCAGTCAGTGTTCAGGATTTTCGGTTATTCTCACACAATAAAATGTATCTTTATCTTATAGTCTCTGCTTTTTGCGGATGTCATTCTGTTCTCTTCTGTGGAAAGGAAATTCTCCTGTGGAAGAATATGGCCAAGAGAGCTCCCAAGCAAGTAAAAAAGACACGAATGAAGTGAAAACCCACTACCAAGCGCTTGGCTGGAAGTGCTTGACGATGATGGTAGTCGATTCGGATTCAGTCGAGTGAGTGAATCCGAATCGACTGTGCCATGGATTGGACCTGAATCAGCTGGAAGCACTTACCTTGTACTAACTTCATCTGTCGAGAAATGCCAAACAAAAAGGATGTAAGTAGTACAAATGGCACAACTCGAGCTACTTTCTAACTGTGACAAACTAGTGAAACGCGTGCTCAGTCTGGATGGAAGAAGGTTTCTACACCTTATGGTCGTGTAGTCTGGAAGGTGCGTTGTATTTTTATGCAATGAAGTTTTCTGACACTCTTCACGCTTCATGGTCTGAAAGTTGGGATTTCTATGTAACGAAGATTTATGACACTTATCCGGACCCCTATTCTTGTGGTGCTAGCGTTCCAGGTATTGCCACAACTAATATAGTGGCATACACCATTGATTTTGTGTGTTCTAACAACGGTGTGTATATGCTTTCAATATATGCTTACTCGCATGCTTTTTGTTGTGTAGTGTTGTTCAGTGGATTTTTGTTTTTCAGTACGTTTCTGATCCGCAGTCACATTTACCTGCTCCAAAAAAAGGGTTATAAGATTCAGCTAGGGAGACCTGAAGTTCTTGTTGATGTTGTAGCTTTATACCCCATGGCCATGATGATAGCTGCGGGTTTGACCTACGCTCTTTCTACATATACATATTCATAAGTATTCGCAATGACTATAGTACTAAAACAAAACTGAGGCTAAATTATCTCATTCAATAGGTGTAACTTTGATTCAACAAGTATAAGTTTGATTCAATACTCAAGGGCGACGCATCTTGATGAGTGAACAGGCTACTTAATGCTCACTGTCTATTGCCATAGAATATAGTCTGGCATCTAGCTAGTCCTCCCTAGAATATAGTCTAGTATCTAGCCTGATGTCTTCTTCTCTTACCATTTTTCCAGAATATAGTCTAGTGTCTAGTCCAGAGTCCACTCCCAAACTTCTAGAATCTAGCCCAGAGTCCACTCCCACTCTTCTAGAATCTAGTCCAGAGTCCACTCCCACTCTTCTAGAATCTAGTCCAGAGTCCACTCCCACTCTTCTAGAATCTAGTCCAGAGTCCACTCCCAGCCTTCTAGAACCTAGTCCAGAGTCCACTCCCAAACTTCTAGAATCTAGTCTAGAGTCCACTCCCAAACTTCTAGAATGTAGTCTAGAGTCCACTCCCAACCTTCTAGAATCTAGTCTAGAGTTCACTCCCAACCTTCTAGAATCTAGTCTAGAGTTCACTCCCAACCTTCTAGAATCTAGTCTAGAGTCCATTCCCACTCTTCCACTTCGAGGACTTGGATTTGCGAAGCTCTCCACAGATTTCCATCCTTGTCGGACCAAAGCCAGCCTAATTTTTGAGCTAATCGCTCCACAACGAGACCTGGGTTTTGATGAGAAAAGAGTATGTGTGCCCAATCATGGTAGCAGTACTAGTGTGCCCAATCATGGATATTCGGAGAAAGGAGCGTGGATATGGTAACCCTGAGAGAGTGCATCTATATGAAACACCTAGTTGTGCCGGAAAATCACTCAGCATCAAATTCATCCATCAACTTAGAGCCGCCTGGTTCCGCATCAAAAACAAGTATAGTATAAAATTTTGTAGCCATTTTGGTCTGAGAGATACAAGAAGCATCATCCATATACAGGATAAGTAAGTACATATTTATAAAAATAGAAATTATAGTACCAGCAAGCAGTGATATGAGATCCATTTCGGTGATGGAGATGAGACCTCTGCCAGCGATTCTCCGATCTGCGGTGCGGACCATGCTATCCGCTACTGTAAATTCGACTACTTAGAGAGGAGAGCTATCTGCGGCATCGCGCCTTGTTTTCCTCTTTGATAGCATAGTCCGCAGTTCCTCTTTTTGAAGTACTATGCTTGCACGTGTAAAAATAAGTTGTCCCTGAGTTGTCTTTGATTCATATATCTTGCCCTTCCTCTACTTTGAGAGTGATATTTTTACCCTTGGAGGAGGGGGCTTGTTTTTTCACTATAGAAAAAGAAGAACCAAGGATCTCATGGTGCCTGTTGAGGACATGCTTTAGCGGCAGCCTTAATTATCAAACGTCTGGAGTATTCGAAAGCTCTTCCGCCCTTCCGGTCGGTTGTCCATCGAAGGTGAGGTTAGAACTAGGGCAGTGTTGGGTGATGTGGTACCTACTAGGCAAATACTAGCTGATGTTGTACCTACTAGCACTATTAGGAATAGTTTGTATGTAGTTTTGTTGTAGTACGACCAGTCTAACAATTATTGTACTATAATTAGTTTGTAGTTTGGTTGTAAGACAATTCTTGAAGAGTCGCCCTATGTAATGAATTTCTCGGAGTAATCCTTTGGACGGTGTAAGTCTAGTTGTGCAAGCACAGCATCCACATAATAGAGTGAGAGCTGTGACACTGTAGCTCATCTATTAGCAGCGGCTGGAGAAAATAGCATGGCCATAAAAAAAGCACAAACTCATGTGTGTGTGGACTGGTCGGAAGGACTGGCTCCTTGTCACCATCAGACGCCGCATCAAGTCCGCGTTATTAGAAATATGTCAGTCTCCTCCTTCTGATTCATCTTCTTTGTCATTGTTGCTTTTTGCATAATTGCATATGTACTACAACTAATTTCCAATATTTTTCTACTGCCTAACGCGAACAATAGTTATGGTAAGTTAAATGTCTACTGCAAGATCTAAATCCTCATTTCCAAGATTTACTGCAAATGTCTACTGCAAGATCTAAGATTCTGGCTCACTACGTAGACCGAGTGAATAACACCAGCTTAATTCCTGGACTCCGCTCCTGACACAGGCCCGATCATGATGGCGAAGACGAAGAAGTTGGGAGTTCCGTTTTGCATTAAACGCCTTTCAACTATTAGAGCCCACCCTAATCCATCTCGAAGTTAATCCTCAGAGCGTTTTCCCCTTGAAAACGTCTCTGAAATGCTTCCGAAGATGGATAAGTGTGAGCCATAAAATTAGGTCGTTGCGAAGTGCACAGCTTCCGACGTTTGGTGCTTTTGCTGATGTGGATGCGCGAGTTTGGCCAGACGTCGTGGTCCCTGCAAGACTTCTTAGAGGTTTTTTATAGTAAGTAAAATTCTACTTCGAGTCTCTTCTTGGGCTTATGGAAGTACAGAACACCCACTTTTTCGAAAGCTGAAGATGGTACAGGGGCGGAGCAATTGATTGGTTGAGACAAAGGTAACGACGGTGAGCAGGGGCACTTCTACTATTTTGAATATCGAATATCGGTGAACCGGATAGTGCAGGGTGGTTTAGGGTTCACCAACTACTGCCGACGCCATCAGAATTTTTTAGTCATAAAGCAATCCTTTGAGCCTGTGATCGCTGCACTGCTGTCGCTGCTGTCGCTGGAGCTTTAGGAGTGGCGGGTGGTAATGGTACGCAGAAAGGCTGCATAAAAGTAAACCAAGGACACAGACCCGCTGTAGTTTTTGTTCGTGCTATTCGTTTGATTTAGAGAATAGGAAGAAAAGCTCCCTCATAAAGGCTGCTGACGCAGTACAGAACTAGGAAACTGGCGCGGAAATAGAACTGCTGATGGAGTCTAAAGTGCGTCTATGAGATATGGATTTTTAATCATGTAGCTCTAGATTCACCTCGTAGTGCGTAAGAGGTGAATCTAGAGCCTCTGTGAGATTGAGGAATGCGGGGTCTCATTTGAGGAATGGACTTCTAATGGTGATCTTATAGCTCTTCTTTCCTGTGGTCGTGAAGAGATACCACAGTGACTTTTATGACAACTACATATCTTCATCAAGTATACAAGGTTTAGGTTAGGCTAGGTTGTGGATCCTGCGCATCGAGCTCCGCCGGCACCTACAACGCTCCTATTAGAGTAATATCATTATAATGCCATAATTTATTTTCTCGTTGAAGAGAGCACGCACGATAGGTGGTTGTGCATAGGCGAAAATGCGAGGATTACTCCAGGAGGTCGACCATTCTGTTCCACTGATGGTGTTAGTGGCGTCCAATCTAGCTATCAATCTTCAGAGCGTATAATACACGAGGAGTTCGGAACTGGAACACAGAGTGTAGTGCTGAGTGTAGTGCTGAGTGTAGTGCTGAGTGTAGTGCTGAGTGTAGTGCTGAGTGTAGTGCTGAGTGTAGTGCTGAGTGTAGTGCTGAGTGTAGTGAGTGTAGTGAGTGTAGTGAGTGTAGTACAATTCATTGGATGCAGGAAGATTGGACTACCTACTACATTGGGACTTTTCGATTGAACTACCCACAGCGTAGTGAGTAGAACTTCACAGCAATACTTGACACGCTGTGCGCGATATTGATGAGCAGAAACTCTGGCTCCTGTTTGTGACGTTAGTGGGAAACTTAGGCCTTAATAGAATTGTCCGCTCTATCTTCAGGCGAAGAGGTATTGTCAGTGTAACTTGTACTTGCTTGACACGTTAGAGGGCAACACTACACTTCGTTTCTGCTTGCGTACATTTCTCTCCCTTTTTTAAGAAGGAAATATAATTAATTCTCCCCAGAAATCTAAGAAGGAAATGAGGAGAAATGGCTGGAGGTAGAGATGAAGTGTTTTGGGCCTTAAACTTGTCGGCCACGAATTTCCGTGATCATCCTTTGAACGTGGCTCATTTTGCTCTGGATTAGGCGGATAAAGCGGAGCTAGACATCGCACACGCGGTTGTGGTATCGCCAGATGATTTCTGTACAGGAAATGCAAGAATGTATTAGAGTATAGCCCACCCAGAGGAGAAGACCTCGCTATTTTTTTTGGGAAGCATCATTTTGGAGCTGTTTGTTTCCCCCATCCTAAATTTGATGCACAGGGGGTCCAAGAGAATGCTGGATCTCTCCGAAGAGGACCTTCACGAGATTGTGTATAGTTCAGGAAAATTTCCATAAATGCCAAGACTGTCGCACCACTGTGGTTAGAGCTAGCGCCTTCGCATCTCTCTCTTTCTTGAGAGTAATAGTGTCCTTGGCAGGTGCTTCTTTTTCATAGCTATAGAAAAACAAGAACTGCCTTCATCAAGGATGATGACAGATACTCTACGGCCAAGACATGCTCGAGGAGCTGCGGTAGCCTTAATGTGGGCATGGAGTTGATGATGCTTCACGAACTGGTGGACCTCAGCCCAGAGAGCTGCGGTTTCAGGCATCTCCGATATCTTTACTTCCGGCTCACGCCCTTTGTGGTGGTGCTGTTTTGAGCGACTTGTGCGAGTATTAGACTCTCCAGTATATGAGTACTATAATTGTGGTGGAGCCGACCTCACTAGAAAAAAAACAGGAGTAGGACGAAGCTTAGAGGCAGCGACAGCCAATAGCTTGTAGGATACATCGTTTAGCCTATTCCGACTCCGAGAAGGAACTGACTGGTAGATGGTGCTGCAAAAGATGGGTTGACGGTACCCATAAGAAGAAGGAGTGGGGCAGGGCAAAGAGCAAGCCTTAATATGCAGTGGGGGGGCTGCTTGACTGCCTCTTACTGCTCTCAGTGTACCGGAGTCGAAGCGGCCATCATCTGGTTGGTGGGTCGGATATGGTGTAGTCGACGTAGTCGCACTGCCGATATTAGACGAGCAGGATGAAAATTGGAGGTATCACAACATCAAAACCGATCAGAAAGCATCATATATGTGCTAGTGTGTGTCCAGAGAAACAGAAAATGGAGTGGAGGATCAATTGATGGATCTTTTCAGTGTGGAGGTGCATACAAAAGCTGTGTAATGACCGATTACTTAGCACAGAAACTCTCACTCTCAGCGAGTATAGTGCAAACTTCCTATCAACTCATACCACGAAATGAATCTAAAATAAATAAGAGCCTTAATGATCGATGGAAAAGGCATCGCCGTTGTGGTCGGTGTTCTAGTGCACAGCCCCTTAGTTGGCAAAGAAGTAGGTAAAGTGCCGGCTCCAAATGGAATTTCGGCAGGGTCAGAGCTAGTTGGTCCTCGACGTGGCCTGCCTTGCCGTTGCTCATCATGCGGAGTGGGTTCTTTTGTTAGATTTTGCGATTACTTATGTTTACTAACACAGTATGGGAGGTCTACAAGCACTGGATAAATATGAGAGTCTAGCAAGACGGAATGCACGATGAGGTGGCGCACCTACTCGCTAGCAACCAGAAATGTGAACAGAATAGTAAAAGTAAAACTACTTAAAGACAGCGTTGATGCAAAATGACGTTAAACATTTACTATGAGTGATTATGGTAATGATCACTTTGAGCCACCCGATGTCCTCCAGTCCCACCCTATGTCCTCCAGTCCCACCCTATGTCCTCCAGTCCCACCCTATGTCCTCCAGTCCCACCCTATGTCCTCCAGTCCCACCCTATGTCCTCCAGCCCCACCCTATGTCCTCCAGTCCCAGCCTGTGCACTTACTTTTAGCTAGTGGAGCAGAGAGATACTGAAGCAATGTCATGCGAGTGCCCCTGATATGGCCACTCGTGACCACCGTAGAGACAAAATGGCAGCCGACTGCAAGGTCAACTCCCATGACGAAGATACTTCAGAAACAATAAGTCCACCACAAAGATATTCCAGAAACAATAAGACCAAAAAGATACTTCTGGTGCTCAAAACAGGCAGTCTACCACCACACCCCATAAAGCCGGTGAAGGCAGCAACGCTTGTGAACCCGCTAAAGTAAAAGAGGAGGAGCCTCGCTGCGGCGATGGTGCAGTGCGCCGGCGAAGCTGTACCACATTCGAAGCTGTAGCACCAGTTGATGTTTCAGATCTGTTAGGATTGGTTAGGATTAGGGTTCCTTCAGTGGGGGGTCATGGGACCACGGTGAGTTCTTCCGTTGGCCTACTTGACTGGGTGATCATGATAGGAAAGAGAAGTAGACTGGTAAGTCTGAAGGAAAGTAGAGATTCGCAGATGCTTCATCGGGTGACAAGAACGAGATTTGCGAGTGAATGTGACACGCTAGAAATGCCGTTGAGGATGCATCCGTGTAATCAAACTACGGTCTAACAACTACGGCCGAGAAGGAAAAACCACGCAATTCTGAACTGCCAGAATATTCGACTTATGGTTTGGAATCTTAGACGACTAAAAAGTGGTGGTGGCAAAGCTGAAACGTCTACCAAAATGTAAAAGTTATACCCTGTCCCAAAAGGTGAGGACGTCGGTGTAGATGAACTACAGGGGGTTTTAGGCGACCCACTAGCAGGATCTCGGGAGCTCACTGCCGTACATGCGATGTGCCCTCGTTCTGGCATCCCTTTAGGCCTTGGCAATGCTGGGGGTCGTGCACCTCCTTGTTGACCTGCAGCTGCGTCTAGAACTTAGAAGAAACTTGGAGGTACAACAGATGACAGACAGCAATAGAAGACACCGTGAAAGATAGAATCGGTATAGGTTGATACAGACAGCAATAGATACAGAGAAATTAGCAGTAATCAGATGAGACAATTGGCATGGAGAGCAAAAATACTTACAGGGAAAAGATTGGCTCATGATAAATTTCCTCAATATGATATGTCCTCAGGAGTAGGAACCAACGCTATTGCCCCTGGAAACTACTCAACCAACAGGAAAAGCTAACTTCTGCATGATTCAACATTATACTCTACTATCCAGCTACAAAACTACTACCTCTCGTCCATAAGGTTGAGCACTACCTGAACCAAGACTGCCAAGAACTCTACGGGCGCTAAGCATGCGTAGACGCTCAAACTTGGTCTTCGGCAAGCCACCGTGCGACGACGTGTCCGCGGCACAGCCCGAAGACGTGTCCGCCTCGTCACTCTTTCTTTAGAACTCATCATCTGGGTGAAAGCCTTGTGATCTAGCCATCGAGTCTATCTACCTATCTATCTATCTATCTATCTATCTATCTATCTATGCCGGACTTTAAATTTAAGCCATTCCTGAGTATGCATGCGCACATCTTTGTTGCCAACCTTCCTGATGACCGTTCCTAGGAAATATAAATTTGAAGCAGCCTTAACTCCTACTCGAATCGGCTTCCGCTGAGGGCTCTCTGGAAGCAGGACAGCAAGCTGCTTCTTCTTCTCGAGATAAAGTAGAGGAGCCTCGTCCATCTCTGGTATACCCTAGAACTTCTCTTGTCTCTCGATCGCCGTTTTCTCGAGGACCACAACCGGCTGCTTTCTCTTGAGGTGCGTCGCTCGAAGTGCATCCACCTGTTTCTCTCGAAGTGCGCCCACCTTTAGGGGTTGAAAGTTGACCGCTCTAGGTTGCATATCTATGGCTTCCCTACTTGAAGAAACTATAGAGATGGTAATAGAGATGCCAACTTCCAAACCTTAACACCTCTTTCTCTTGAACTACGCTCTGCTTCCATGGCAACATCTCTAGGCGTACACCTGCTTTATGGACGTTCTTCCCATCTAGGCAGACCATCAAGAATTGCCCCCCTCTAAGAACCTATACACTTGTTTCAAGGGAACAAAAAGGGGCAGTCTAGAAAGTCTGATAGATGCAAAAAACGCCATCCAACATAAGCGTGATGTAGCACTTGCTGGGCCACGAGGTCGTGGCCCTATTGCCCCCTTTCTACTAGACGAGCTACAACCGCTAGACGAGATACATCTTTCGGTTCTTCGAGTGAGGCTAGATCATAGGATATGACGGATTTCTTACATCTTCTTGCGTCAGCATCAGTAAGCCTACTTTCTTCTTCTTGATGTTTTTGTTGTATGTCGACTGATTATGCTTGATTCTGCCTAGTGCGTGGTGCCGAAGTGTCGACTCTATTGCACCCTGAGGAAATGTTGATAGAGCTTTTAGCACTCAAGAGACGGCGAAGGGCGTACAGAAACAAATATGTTGATTATATCCACTGAAAATTGGTGGTTCTTCCATTTCCAGCACACCCAAAAATGATAAGAAGACTACATCCCCTGCTTATGACTATCTTGCCCGTAAACTTGGTGGTTCTTCCACGTACTCTCTTTGGAAGCTCGCGTCTCCCGAACTGACGCCAGTTGTGCTAATCTGACATGGTTCGCTACTAGATCGTCCCGCTGTGGTGGAAACACATCGCGGATCCATGGAACTGCAACTCGTCCCAACTCTTTGCGGCCCGTCATCTCTATATCCTTGACTTAGAGCTTATTGCATGTGTATTTCCTTGAGAAAGGAGGAGTGCTGGGTTTCAAAGCAAAACAAGACCTAAGGGAGGGCCATTCAGAATTCTTGATACGTCGGCTCTTTTGGTGTTTCCTCGTAGAGTGCGGAGGATGGCTTCTCTTAATACCTAGCGACCCCCTTCCAGGTCCCCCCATCGATCTCCTTAATTCTTGATTGCAACAAACACTTAGTCTCGATTGATTGATTAATTGACCTCAAGGTCCCACACGCCTTAATTGATCGGTCTCTGACTCAGCTTAGAGTTCTTCAGAAGATACAACTGCTGCATTCTTCAAGATGACAGCGGCCACCCCAATAACTTCTTTCTTATTGGGAAAAGCTTGCGGAAAAAAAAGAATTTTCATACCTTCCCTCTTATTGGGAACAAAAGAGTCAGGGACCTTAGTAGCTAGTTCGGGACCTTAGTGCCCCCACTGGGGAAAGCTGCATTCGGGAAAAGAGCAGTCAGGGGAGATCTTAGTAGTCAAACTTCACACTGGGAAAAGCTGCACTTGCGAAAAGAGTCAGGGAAGCTGCCAGGAGGGATCTTTATTTTTTGCAGGATGTAATTATGTGTAAGTGAATCATTCTTAATGAGACATGGCAGAAGCCCTACTCTCACGCAGAGGCTCGCCAAAACTTTCACTGGATTCGCATCGTTTATTAGAAGAGGGAAGTTGTGTTCTCATGGAATCATGTGGAAGAATACTTTTCTAGAAGAGAAAAGTGTTGGAATTATTCTCGAGGACTGAAGAGCTTCGCATGAAAGGTCCTCTCCTGTTGAGAATGTCTAATATTCGATAAACAAGCCTCAATTAGTTATAATGGGATGCTAACGAAAGACCCTCGAACGAGGAAAGAGTTCTTTACTCTTAGATTTTCCTAAAAGATTTTTATAGAATGCAGATTTTCATGGTACTAAAGTTTCATTGGAGTCAACATCTTCTCGCAAAGCCTGATTTATTCCAAAATAATAGTTTCAAAATAGTACAGCACACGACTAGACCCCGCTTCTCCAGAAGTGGCCCCGTATCTAAGATTAGAAGCACCCCGTTTCCTAATCTATTGCTTAGGCGCTGCACCTTTAGTACTCGTCATTTATTCACGGGCCCCACCCCCCAGGCCAACTTTTTTTTTTTGGTGCCTGGGTCTCCAATTTCCCGCGATAGTTCTACGCAATTACCCTGCGGGAAGCCTGAAGCACAACGGCCAGGCGCTACAAATACGCAAACGATTAAGCTTTTGGGCAGTGTTCAACCACCTATCGGGTTCTATAATTTCAATAGATATAGTTAGATCATAATCGAATATGTTGCATCCGAAGCAATGGACTCATCGTCACAGCTATCACACGCCGAGCCCGAAGCACTGCTCCCATCGCTACCGCCATAACCAGAGTCAGCATCCCGTATATGGCCACTGTATTTGTAGTTCTTAGAGATAGAGAGGTCGCGAAGATGTTCTTCGCTAATAGTAGAGTCGACCTTACTACTTATTCGCACTCGAACAACTTGGTGACCATGTTTTGTTAGAGAGATTCTGATGCAGAAGTCTTGTCGAATCAACACTTAGGTGAAGACGTTGACTCGGCATGCTTATCAACGTTTGAGAGGTTCTGACTGATGGACATCTGGAGTAGTGCCTTAGCTGTTTTAGAGGTATTCTTTTGTCAAATTTACTTATAAATCCACTAGAACAAGAACTATGCGCAGAAGATGTACCTAGAAATTCCTTAGAAGTATGGGATGTAGGTGACAAGTAGTCATCCTGAACTCCCGGCAAGTCGTGCCTATCTATTTCATCATCGTGCGCCTCTGGTGGTCAACATTCTCTACCACTGGCGAGATAAAATAGCACTAGCTTCTAACAATGTAGCTGTACATGGTCTATTATTTGGAACTGTACATGGTTGTACTTAGTTTCAAAAAATACAGTGTGTCAGCATCTATTTGAAAGAACTAAGATCTCCTTAGCAAGGAGCACTAAAAGAGACAGAGACGCTCTTGAAACTGTACATACTAAGCACTAAAACAGACAGAGAGGACGCTCCTCCCTCGCCTTAAACATAGGATGACTACGTCGCGGCGAAGGAGATCTCTCTTTCTTTGCGTTTGAGAGCTGTCTCTGGAATTTGTGCAGGAGCTTGCTCAATTTCTTCACTTCACGGGTGTTACGCGAATCGGTGTCCCTATCAGGAGACGATGATCGTTAATTAGAGCGTCTCAGATTGCCACTCTGAGCTATTAGCAAGACCAAACAATTGAAAACAATTGAATAATAACTATTGTTCCCCAGAAGGTGAAGGACTCTTGATCAATAACCTAATCTTTCGACCTCGTAGAGAACAACGTGCGGGTCCATGAGCGTAAAGGAGATATTTCTGCAGAACTGCAGTTGTCCTAAGTAGATGGAGGAAACAGAAGAAACTTAACTCTACCACTTCTCTCTGCTCTCTCCCCTCTACGGAGGTTTTCGTCTCCCCGATCTTGACTACACTGGCGGCTACTACTACTTGCTGCTCGACCATGATCTCTTAGCGCTCAAACACAGAAACAGACATTTCTATGGATAAGACTTTATCATCAATGTCCTGGGAAGTAGGATGAATTGAAGTACACCAGTACCTAAGCGTACGTATTTTGAACTAAGTGTAGACTGGAAGCGGGTCTAGTTCCATTAATATCTCGATGTCGCGGTTCCTCAGAAGGAAACAACGAGAAATGGCACTTGCAGATGAATTGTCTTGCCATCACGTGGATGGAGGACTATTTCGCGTCTTAAGTCTCCCCCTTTTCCGTCGCCTGGATGGTGCCCTTCGGGTCTTTGCTCCTTATACACGGACCTCCGGGCAAGTCTGGCTATGCCAGAACCTACAGTACTGAGGCAAGCTTAGAGCTATGCCATGTGTGTGTCCCTGTCGCGGTTCAACATAACCACCACAGCATTAACCGATGTACTTATAGAACATTACAGAGTAGTTAGTACAGCAATATCCGATAGAACTTATGGAGTGGCCATCTTCTAAGTAACGACTTCATCGATCATTTGATCACTGTCTTCATGATTTAGTCTACCTTTTCTAATGTGTCATTGATTTTGAAGCCCGAGCTTGGGCCTCTCGACGAGTGTGGTTCAGTTTGCAGCCTAAGAGCCTAAGCTCAGGATAGAGCTACATTCAGAATGGGACTAGTACTAAACTGAATCTTGAGTGGTCCGCCTCTGCGAGCGCTACTCTTAGCGCTTCTATAGAATAGCCTGTTAAATAATAGTTAATTTTTAGCAATTGCAATTAATTAGTAATTATTGAAACTACCTAGCCAGTTAATTACAGTAAAAGATACCTAACCTTAAATAGTAGAGGGCCCTGCTGATGATCCACACAGCGAGGAGTCCGCTACGGACGAATCAGCCCAAGAAGCAATACTTCTGGCTCCGCCATCGTTGTTAGAGCGCAACGCTGTCCCGATGCTTGAGGTGCATCCTGATACTTGTCTCGCTTACCGTATATAGGACACACAGCTGCTACCATAACTAGGACTTCTTTTTAATGTTCGTGACTCGTGGAACTTCATGCAATATACCTCGCATTATCTCCTATTGCCTCCTATGGTTCTTCTTACACTTGATACAATAGATTTCTACTCCTGGAACTTTCGTAGATGTAACTTCCTATGCTTCTGAAGATGCATGGACCAGGGGAAGCCTTAACATTGCTGTCCACCTCACTTTCTGGAGGAGCTTCGTGTACGGCAGTCAGTGGCTCGTAAACACAAGCAGATGGGTATGAAAAGTGGCTCACAAAAACTCAGTAGACGGCTCAGTGACCTCTCTGGATTCTGAAACTATGTACGCAGAAGGTGAGTTATTGCGTTGAGCCCTGATAGATACAAGGAGAAAAAGAGGGGTTGCTCTTCCAAGTAGTTACAAAGTAACGAGAAAGGAGCGCAGGAAGAGAAAGGAGCCAAACGGGATGCGGCTGATCATGAGCTTGATATTTTTTTTTGAGTAATACTGATCAATCCCATTACACTATATCTAAGGAGCCATCTTCTCACAAATGGAAGCGCTCGCGACCAAATGATCACGTGAACACAACATAACGGGGAAACACCGCATCCCCAACCTTGGCCTGAGTCCTGCTCACGCCTAGACCGACTACGATAGCCTTTGTGCCTTTTCGCCTGATCCCGTCGTAGAGAAGAGGAACCATGATTAGATGCAGTCTCTGATAGTTTAGAAGGGGAACTATGATTAGAAGAGGAACTATGATTGGAGGTATCCGCAGTCTGTGATGTTGTAAGAACGGTCGTCAAGCTCCTGTCTGTCAAGAGACGGGTGATGTTTGAGAGATGGTTCCTTTTCTAAAGGCATCGATCTCTCTTCAGAATATTTCAAGAAAACCAAGATAGGCAGTTGGCCTGCTTGGTCGTTTAGGTGTGATCCGCATTATAGTTACCTCCCTCAGGGGCGGGTAAGGAGAAGCTGAAGCTCTTCTGGTTGTTATAACTAATTCAAGAAGTAGAGGACAACACACGGAAAAAGCTCAGTAGAACCATGAAGGGGTCGCCGTGGAGTCCATAGCCATTCTGGTACCCGATAAACTGAAATAAGCAAGTAACTACTTAAAATAGGCGACATACTGAAAGAGGAGGAATGGAGTAGCGACTCTTCTTTTTCAGTCATTAACTCGCGCATTTCTCCTTTTCGGTTAGTTAGTCGATATCAACAAGAGACGCCTTAACATGACCAGAGCTCGATCCCCTTCGCGTCCTATCTGTCCTGTCCTCTTGCTCTTCTTCCTCTTCCTCCTGCATCTGATCGGTCCCGTCACGGGGATTAGAAAGACGCCAAATATGTTGAATCTATATTATTATAGAGCAGTCTCATCTCACCACCATGACCATGACCATAGTTCGTTGCTACTAAAACTAATAAAGCCATTATTTCTACTAGTTTCGTTTGGGTATATTCAGTCCGACCATCCACGATTATAGTATGTTGAAGATCTTCAGTCCGTAACGGCCCTACTGATAAACAAGCTTATGCGATGTGCTTCATGTGGTACTTAAGCTTTTCTTTTCCAGTGTGCATTCATCAGTTTTAGACACTAATAACAGTGCTCCTACTTCTAAACTCCAGCCATTCTTGGTATCTATGGCAGTACTAGATAAGCCTCTACATTTCCTTCACCTGCACATCATAGCTTCTTGATCTTGCTCGCGTCCTCTTCTATCATATTCCCTGTCTTCCTCATGTTCTACTTCGTGCCCAGCATCACCATTTCCATCATCGTGGTCCTCTGTAGCGGCGTGCCCCTCTGGAATAGTAGGTTGCCTCTGCCGTTCCTCCTCCAGTCTGTGCTGTTCAGACGTGGCACGTCTATGTATGAACGGCGTTTTTTCTCCCCTCTAGATGCAGACCATCCTGGCAGGAGGTATTACTCCCCCTTACACGGTCTTAAGAGCCAGGACGGTCGCAAGGGCCTCTAGATGCAGACCATTCTGGCAGTTTCTTTCCCCGTTCCAAAAAAGAGTGCTGCCAGGATGACCTTCCTTTAACTGAAGCAGGGAGAAAACATCATCCTTAGTGCGATTAGCGGCATTTCTCCTTTCTGCGTTCCTCCTTTCCTCGTGGGTTCTGCGCTTGAGCGATTGAGACAGCCGTATCACCTGGTCCACGACGTCTTCCGCGTCCTTGGATTAGAGAGTAATCTCCTTGTGATGAAGAGGTCGTGGACGTGGTCTCCAGTGTTCGGTAGTTAAATTTTGAAAAAACAATCTTCTACTTCAGAATGAAGTTATGATCTCAGAGGGAAAAGTTGAGACGACTCGCCAGGACTTCTGGCTCGGATATAGCAAACGATTTACCAACAAAATAATAGTAAACCTCTACTAGAGATCATGAGCCGCCTCTTTGAAAAAAGGTCTAAGATCTTCTATCAGTGCAATTCAGGCAGTTCTTTAGTTGTGAATTCAGTCAGATCGCATTGAAGCAGTCGTCCTCATAATCAGCTGCTGATGAGACGCCTGACATCCCACCCCAATGTTCCCCTCCAGCGTCTAAGCGCTGTGGGTTCTCGACGGCAGTTCGTTCCGCGTTCTTCTCTGCGTTTACACTGAGTTAGAGCCTACAAATAGAACGCACGACTTGGTTCCTAAATTAGATTAAAACACTTGTAATATCCAGTGAGTGTAAACCGTTGACTTTCACGATCTTGATGATGATGTTGAGAAGCTTACGGCACTCCCCAGTTAGAGCCTACATTATTAGTTAAACGCACTCTTGCTATAGTGACTTCGATGCGCTCTTTCATTCGATAGAGCATGACGCGCACTACATCCCTGCTGAGGCACTACTTTCATTTTCTACTTGAAACATCAAATAGGCCAAGGATCTTTTCTTCACGCAGGCACAGTCTACTTGAACAAAATAGGCCAAAGATCATGCTTAATATGAAAGAAGCGATCTCGTGGGAACCCTTAATTGAATTTGAAAAGCCGCAGAAGCATCAAATCCCTACTAGCTGAAGTGAGAGGCGTGCCGTCTCCTTGTCTGTTGAGAAATAGCCAATCGGATTAGAAAAATGTTTCGATGTATCTATAAGATACGTGTAACTCATCTAGTCCTGCTGCAAAGTGAACGTGCACAAACAACAAGAGTTTCAGATATTATTATAAATATCTTATATAATCAATATTATTATAAACCCTAAACCCTTATATAATTGCAATTGCAATTATATAATTGCTACGAACGACCACGTGCTTCTTTTTTACAAGAGTTAGTTCGTGTCCTCCTCAATGCTTTTCCATAAATGTAAGGTAAGAGAAGCCGCGAAAAGGAGTTGGATACTCGTATCAGACCTCCCGACACCAAGCCCGGATGTCGATCGTCTTCTTCTCTTTTTAGACACCAGAGGGTGCCACCTTTATTCTCACCTCAAGTTACCCCATCGCAAGCAGTCAATCAATCAATCAATCAATCAATCAATCAATCAATCAATCAATCTTCGGAGTGCAACCGCCACAGTGTGCTCTTTATAATGAAGATCGCCCGGAACACCTTACCTCATGCGCAGAAAAGGAGCATAAGCTCAAAAAATATATGCACGAACTTATAAGTTCGATCGGCCTTGAGCGCTAGCCTAAACCTGCGAAAGCAGACCTTGAGCCAAAGCGCCAGCGCAGTGTGCTCTTTACTATGATCATGCATTTCGGTAGCCTCGTTTTCCTTTTACTCTTCTAACATTATGGGACGAAACAGCAGAAGCATATTAGACCGAAGAGATACTGGGAGGAGGGATGGATACGTGAATAAAAGTTGAGGACCATATTAATCTTCCGCGTTGTATTTCGCCTGCTACCCGTGCTTGCTCAGCTAGAGACTCTAGCGGGACCGCTTCAGGAGTAGGAGGATGACAGCGAGGTTTTTGAGCAGGAAAATGCTGTGGGGAGTCGAATAAGAATTTTAGAAGGGAAGCAATAAATATATAAGGTCCAAAATCACGAGTGGCGAGGCATTCTTTTATAGAAGGAGGCCACTATGTAAGGTCCAAAATCACGCGTGGCGAGGCATTCTTTTATAGAAGGAGGCCACTATATAAGGTCCAAAATCACGAGTAAGCCCAATAAAGTGTGCTTTAGCTTTTTTAGCAGTTTGAATTGACGACCAAAATCAAAGTAAGTACAAGCTTAATAATGGTGAAAAAGTGAGAAGAACAAAAAAATCATGGTGAGAAAGCAGTATAGCTAGCATTTTTGGTACACTTCTACCTCTCCTATTTGCATTTTTTCGTACTAACTGCTACTTTTGAACTATCGTCAATATACTTGTCTTGTATTTTGGTCCACATTGATTCGGCAAAACAAAGCAATTCTACGCGTATCCATCCTGCAAACAAAAGGCCTTAAACCACATTCTGCTCGTAACGACACACGTTCCGTTTGAGGCGCAACTGCACCACCTGACACATTAAACGGTTCAACCGAGGCTTCCAGGTCTATTGTACGCCGACAAGGAACTACTGTAGTGGGCCCTCCGACTATAGTACTTGTTTCTAATGAAGGATAGTACGGCACTTGGCTACTATTCGCTCCGCCATGATAACAAGAGTCTGGAGGACCATCTTGATAGCAAGAAGGACCATTAGCGGAGGGAGGATGCTGTTGACCCGAAGCTTTTTCTTGTTTCCTACTTCTACCACCGCTTGTTGTGTCTTCCTCGATCGTGTGATGTTGATGTTGACAACCCCCTTCACACGTACCAGAATGGAGATAAGGATCGTGACTCTTTTCTATTTGCTTGGATTCCTCCATTTTCTGCTTCTCTGAGGCAGCTAAAAGTTGTGGGCCACGTAACTGCAGTCGATTTTAGAAGAGACATTCAAGTCGGGGTTGTAGCTGCAATTTCAGAGCTTGAATCATTATTGGAACGCTTCTCTCATTCTAAAGGTGCTACTTGAAGATGCTTTAGATTTTCCAAGCACGTTAATTGCTGCCCTAGAAATCATGACTTCTCTGTTACTTTTCTTAAAGATTGTACAGAAAGAGGTCCACCAACGGTGCTGCGAAATAGCTGTTTCCTGCTGGCAGAAAGTAACGTCGAAATATCTCTAAAACCCGATCCACTATTGGCGGCCATCGCCGTCGCCAAATTTCGTTACTCTCGCGGCCACGAAAAACACCTCGCAGAGGCTGTTCCTGTAACTGCTTACTGGCGCGAATAAGCGGATGAGAAGTCGCCTCTGCTGCGGCGAACGGGGCTGCGGCAATCATTTTACGCTCTGCTGCTTCACCGCGGGATGCTAAAGTTAGCGATGGAGGGGAGGTGTAGGTTAGTTATCAGTGAGGAAAATGACTCAGACTTCTACAGTGATGTATGTAATTTCTTAATAGAAGAGGAACCAAATGGAACTATAATTTGATCCACTTTAAGCGATAAAAAACTAAGTAGTCCCTTAATAAAATACGTCCAAATGAGGGAGAGAGTAGATAACTGAAGATTCACGGTGATCAAAAACTACTCGCAGCAACTACATCAAAGCACTTCATCAAACTCCAACTCATGCTCATCTCACTCAACAATGCTGCCACCAATACGATTGATACCAACAATCTTTAGCAAGCAAAGGTGGCACACAAGAATACTCAAGCCTTAACAAAGGATCGAGGTACAGCGACCACATCTTTAGGGTGTGCTTTTGATGTCCGGGACGACCCTTTTCATCGCCTTCCTCTTGTCCGTGCGACTCTCTTCCCCTATGACTGTGACCATGACTTGCGGCGCCGCGTCTATCCGAGTGAACACCTCTTTCATGACCACCGCCTCTGTCGCTACGATGCTGATGGCTTCTTTCTGAGTGATGACGTTCACCTCTATCGCTATGATGCGGTTGGCTTCTTTCTGAGTGATGATGGCTCCTTTCTGAGTGATGATGGCTTCTTTCTGAATGATGATGGCTCCTTTCTGAGTGATGATGGCTTCTTTCTGAGTGATGATGGCTCCTTTCTGAGTGATGCTGGCTCCTTTCTGCGTGATGATGGCTCCTTTCTGAGTGATGCTGGCTCCTTTCTGCGTGATGATGGCCACCTCTGTCTGCGTGATGACCATCTCTGTCTGAATGATGGCCGCGACTACTTCCTTTAGACTCCCTGTGGTCTCTGCCACCTCGACTCTCTCGTTGCGCCAAGTGACCGTGACGAGAGGATTGATGGCTTGAAGAACTCTGCTGGGTGGGTCTGTGAATGTCACCACTCTGCTCCGAGTAACAACCTTCAGAAGAGTAAGATGAACAACCTTCGGCACCTCTACCGCACAGATCGGACATTGTCCTCGTTCCCGCTTCTGATCGGGTAGCGACATTGAGCAGTCTTTCTGCAACTTTCCTGCACTGGTTATCCCACCAGGCGCTGTCCTCCAACATGCTCGATCACTTTAGAGGACCCAACGAGGAGGACGCATTACTTTACGTTACGCCCAGTAGTTCCCTTCTTGCAAAAGATCTAAAGTGAAGCATGAGTAAACCAGCAGTTGAAACTACAGTGTTAAGCATGCAGCCTTAAGCATGCAGAAAAAAAGCTTCCGCGACTAGGTGCGTCATCGTCCTCGACTCCTCGCTTATCCTCTTCGTGCACAAGCTCTTGAATCTCCCGCCAGGTTCCCGCTCGCTCATCGCTGTGCCCAGGTATGCGGAGATACTTTAAGTGCTTTACGAAAAAGCTCTTGCGCGTTTCTATCGTCTCTATGAGAAATCCTTGGTCCGCATCAAAACTTCGGACGATTCCGCGTCTTAGATCCACAGTATACGGGAAGCAGAGTAGGCTCAACAACATATTCGTAGACATATTATAGCTTTGAGCCATGTAGGATGTACCCCGTTGAATTCTGATCTCATAAAATTCACTACAGCAGTATTGTGTTAATAGTCTTAACTGTACCCCGTTCAATTCGGGTCTGGACTGGAGTCCCCCAAGTTCTACAACAGTTCCAAGCATGATGACCAGCGCACAACCCTCTCCTGCGTTGAGTCTGGTTCTTGAGGATTAGATAGGACTTACCTACCGGATTTACATGCTATGTTGACTACTCATTTTACAATTATACACGAAGGAATCCTTCAAGCAACATAGAGAAGTACAGCAAGGGTGAATGTGCTGCAAAAATAAACAAGTAACTTTCTCGTGTTCTTCGGAATAAAAAGGCATGAGCGCGACAGAAGTGGACGCCTACTCTTTTTGCTCCTCTTCAAGCATGAGGTAAAGGCGTCCGCTGGCTATTCTCATCATACTTATCAACATCAGCTGGCCCACCTTAGTGCGGTCCTGACAGCAATGAATTTGCTTTCCCGCGATGATCTTGTTGGCCTTAAACTCTCAGAAAATTACCCTAACATTTCCCGCAATGAATTTGATTCCCCATAAGTTTCTCCCTGTTGGTCGGAGGATAGGAAAGCCACTTGCGCAGTCCCATCTCTAGCATGGAATACGTGGTAGGCGCAAGACAGCCTATTTCTGCCTGCATCACAGACGGTCGTAAAAAGAAGTACCAGACAGAGAATTAGATGAGTCACCCTTTGATCTTCATCTCCATCCCTCCATCTTGACCCCTGTATTACCCTTGCAGCAATTCATAGGAATAATACAGGGAAAAAGGGCACCAAGATGGATATAAAAAGCCGAACGTAATAGAAGAAGTTGCACGAGGGCCAGCGTTGAGAGGAGTGCTTTTCTGCAGGACATGCAATGACGCTGTCGTATTCTTTCCTGGTAGCAACACTGTCTGCACTTGTTTCGTCGACAAGTGCTGTAGACACATGGCATTGCTCGTCGTATTTTTTCTTGGTAGAACAATTGGCCAAGCCACTTCTTGTCGAAGATTGCCATTTTACAAGTGCGGTAGCCACCGCGCCTCTTCTTGGGGACCGTCGCCAGTTCTACTTCCTCTGCACACTTTTGAACGAGCAGTTTTCAAGCTGACAGGGACGAGAACGAGACACTCATTCTGCGAGCCAAAAACGCAACATTTTGACTGCGTGAAAAGCACCACACACAATCTTAGCCTTCACTACAACAGCTGACTCAAAACTTAATTCTTGTTACTACTAATTGGTCAGTAGAACAATACAGAGAATACAAAACTAAACAGAGCTTGTTATGACGTAAAAAAGATAGGACAATAGAAGGTGCCACCGTGTACAAATAGTTTAGTCTATAATTCATCCTTGTTGTCAATCATAGGTGCAGACTCATAATTTCGAGTCGTACAACATAGGTCTAAGATATCAGGAGATGAAGGTCATCTACGTGCAAAACGTTTTGAAGGATGTGCGTTCGACCCATGCGCACAGGTCATCTCCCATGCTCGTCTACCTCCCTCTGTCTCGTCCAGGATCGGTGTCTACTCTTTAGTTCGTCTTGAACCTACTCGACTCTATATTTCCTCTTGAGTAAGAACTGATACTTATCAACGAGAGATCTTATAGACAAGGATGCAGTTGTATGGACTAGTCCGCTCCCGATTCCGGCTGTCGCAAGCCCTGATCATATGAGCAAGCAGTACACCAGGAAGGCTACTAGTACTACACTCACACCGAGCTGGTAGCGCTGATAGCTAGTGCACCCAAGTGGTAGGGCTGGTACCGACCATGTGCTTTTTGTAGCTTTCTTTTAACATTTTTTCCGTCCGTGCCTGCTTATGCGAGAACACGACAAAACGCTGAAAAAAATGTGACTTCTTGCGGGAAGTCGTAGTGATGTAGTGACTCGCGAAAGCCCTAGTGACTGCTGCTTTCGCCCCGCATCCTTTTCGTGCAAAAAAAAGGAGCTCAGAACTGTAGCATGCATGCGATCAGCCTCAATGATGTTGTTTTGCAAGCTGCGAAGTTTGCTTAGTCGGGTATTAATTTGGCTTCTATTAAGCCCAGAAGTTTTGGTTTCTTTTCTTACGGATGTTTCTGCAAGAACTTCGCAACACTAGAGCACTAGAACGGCCTGGCATTCGCACGGACGGCCGACATCACCCTCTATAGAGGCCTACGGGAAATCCCACGGGGGGTTGCGTTCCACCCCTGTAGACTTCCCCGACTCTCCCGCTACTGTCTTCTGCTGGCTCCCTAGCGGTCTCCCTGCAAAGGTAACCGGGGGGCCCGTGGCTGCAAGGAGACCTGTGGAAACCCCACAGGAGGCCAAGGAGGCAGGGGCGGGAGGGTCGGGAAAACCTATGGGGGTGGAACACAACCCCCCACGAGGTTTCCCGCAGACCTCTATAGAGGGTGACGCCGACCCTAAGACATTCGCACGCCCGCGTTCGCACGGCCCGTTCGCGGGCGTAAGACGTTAGGACCGCCTATTCACCATGTTTTTTTAGGATAAGATCTTGACTCTTCCCACGTTCATTTTTGAATCATAGTGGAGTTAAGTTGGGATCCTCCCTACCTTCCCTACGTTCAACACATTTTTTACAAGTACACTCATGCAGTGGGACCTTTTTATTTTTCGGAATAGCACATCACAAGCAAACAAAGATCGCTTCGTAATACATCACAAACTCAGAGCGAAATTGAAGTGATTGGTTCTTGGTTGGCTGACTGATTGGTCTGTGAGATCATTGATTAGGACTAATCGAAGTCAAAGGAGCAAATGAGTGTCCACTCTTGCCTGCATCAGTCGAAAGATGGAGATTTTTAGACCCTTCAGACGGTACGTCGGAAAGAGAGTTGAAGTCGAGTCATCATCTGTCGGTGGCATGACATATATGATTGAAATTCTGAGACAAGACAAATCTAGCCAAATCAAATCAGGGGGAAATTGCTCTTTTTTTGTATCGCTCAGTTTATTCTGGTGAAGCAAGAGGAGGGCCGCTAGCTTTTCTTGCACTGTACCACGCTGCCCAAGCGCAGGAATACCCCGCGAAATTCTTAAGCGGAACCGCTACGGGACGGCCCTGCTTCGGTTCCCTCTTAGGTTTCTTTGCCCCCTTTTGTCTTCATTTGCTTCCCCCGATCCTGCCCAAGGGGTGGCCGCGGTTTGCTCTCGTTCCGTCCATTTTGTTATCGGCTTCGCGTGTTGCCTTCTCCTCTTTTCTGTGCTTTTCTGGCATCTGCTCACCGGTTTCGCTACGGCTGGGCAGCGGTCCCGGGACACGGAGCGGGAGCGACCTCGTGCCGCCTCGGTCCTGCGTGTGGCTTACTATATCGCGAAGGCCTTGGGCAGGGGTGGCATGAGTGCGGCGCCATGAAGGCAAGCAGCGGCCACGCCGCTGGGTGCTTTGGCAGCCTCACACTGGAAAGGACTTCGAAAAGCTCTGAACCGGCGGCCAGTGGTACCATTTGCAGCCGATTAACCACCTTGCTGCCACTAGATTCCACGGCGAACAAAATCGGGCAGCGACGCCAGGCCGCCGCTGTATTTCAGCCGCCTGCTTTTCCTGATTTGTTTTTTTTTCTGCGTCAAGGTCTTTGGCTTGTTGTTTTTAGTCGGCTCCCCGGGCGGCTTCGGTGTCCGTTCAATGACGCCGGGCCAGCTGTATTCTGATCCAAATGCCCGAGGAATTTGATTTGTTCAAAAAATGTTTAAAAAGTTCGGTCTTTCCGTCAGCCGTCCAGTCGTCTGCAATAATTCGAGGCGGCTGATGTGATCCCTTTCCCCCGGAGTGTGTATTTTCCAGCCGGGCAGCCTCCTAGATTAAAAAAAGACGGGGGCTACTCGCCTTAATTTTTCTAAAAGCAGGCGGCTGCCCGGCTGGCGAATACATACTCCGGGGGGAAAGCGGCCAGCCGTCTCGAATTTTGAAGCGTGGAGCAGTTGGCTGGACAATTCAAAAAAGCGCACTTTTTGACATGAATCAGCACCGAGAAAGATACCCGCCCCCTTCATTTTCAAGAGGAAAGCCCGCAGAAATGAGCCAAAAAGAGTCTTTTTTAGTCCCTAACGAAATAAATTCAAAGCCCAAGCACTACCGCCCAGATTTTGAGCCAAAAAAGCTAGAAAAGTTCCCGCTTTTTATCCCTAGTGAAATAAATTCACAGCCCAAGCCCTCCCCCCTAGATTCTGAGCCAAAAAAAGCCGAGAAGGGCTCTGCCCTTTTTCCCCCCTGAAATAAGTGCAAGGCCCTAGCGCTTTGCCCTAGATTCTGAGCCAAAAAAGCTGGGCGGGGTGCCTCTTCTTTATAGTCTCCACAGAAATAAACTCGCTGCGCTATTTTTTTTGTCTTATGAACTGCAACCGAAAGGCAACGCGCGTGGCCTGGTAGCCCGCCACTGCGCCACTTGCGACATGCTACAGGGCTCACGCCGTTAGTACTTCTTGCGGCCAATGCGGGCGCATTTCTGTCAAGTATCTACTCCAGCAGGCGATCACTTGGCGACGCTGTGCGCGTTGTACTATGATGCACCCAGCCGCGTGGTGCTCATCGGTCCAGTGCTGCGAGTTTGGTTTTCCGGTGGAATGGTCGACAGGTTCCTTCGCTTCTATTGGTTCTGGCGGCTTTGAGTAGTTTACTTGAGAAATAGAAGCGCGCGCCCATCCCAGGCGCCAGCAGGCTGCTCGCCTTTGCTGACGCTGCGCGCGATTGCATTCGCCACGCAGAGCCCTGCGCCGCAAGGAAGCCGAAGGGGGACGGGCTTGCGAGTTTTGTGCCTATCTTGGAGCTGCTAGCCCAGGGGGACGCACTAGACGGCCCGCCGGGGTGCGTCCCCTTGAGCGGGACTATGTCAAGGCATGCCATGGATACCGAAGGCGGCCGCTGCGCTGCGGAATGGCCTCCGCAGCGAAGGGGACCCA